GTGGATGGTGTTGTTATTTGTGGTAGGGGGAAGCCAGGAGGAGGGACATCTGAGAAAGGGTTCCTTTAAGCCTATTTTATTGTACTATTATTTTTTTGAGACAGGGTCTCACTCTGTTGCCCAGGCTAGAGTGCAGTGATGTGATTGTAGCTCACTGCAATCTCCACCTCCCAGATTCAAGCTATTCTTGTGCTTTAGCCTCTCGAGTTGCTGGGATTACAGGTGTGCACCACCACACCCAGCTAATTTTTGTGTTTTTAGTAGAGATGGGGTTTTGCCATGTTGGGCAGGCTGATCTTGAACTCTTGGCCTCAGGTGATCTGCCTGCCTCGGCCTCCCAAAATTCTGGGATTACAGGCATGAACCACCGTGCCCAGTCTCTTTTATGTTTATATTAAATCTAGACTAGGCTGAACATGGTGGCTCGAGTTGGTGTCCCAGCACTTTGGGAGGCCGAGGCAGGAGGATTGCTTGAGCTCAGGAGATCAAGACAAGTCTGGGCAACACGGCAAAACTCTGTCACCACAAAAAATGAGAAAAATAGCTGGGCACAGTGGCATGCGCTTATAGCCCCAGCTACTCAGGAGGTTGATGTGGGAGGATCACTTGAGCCCAGGAGGCTGAGGCTGTAGTGAGCTGTGATGGCACCACTGTACTCCAGCCTTGGCGACAGAGTGACACTAATGTCTTTTTTTTTTGAGACAGGGTCTCGCTCTGTTGCCAGGCACTAGGCTGGAGTGCAGTGGCACGATCTTGGTTGACTGCAACCTCCGCCTCCTGGGTTCAAGCAATTCTCCTGCCTCAGCCTCCCGAGTAGCTGGGACTACAGGTGCACACCACCATGCCCAGCTAATTTTTATATTTTTAGTAGAGACAGGGTTTGACCAGGTTGGCCAGGATAGTCTTGATCTCTTGACCTCGTGATCTGCCTGCCTTGGCTTCCCAAAATGCTGGGATTACAGGTGTGAGACACTGTGCCTGGGGAGACTATGTCTTAAATAAGTAAATAAATAAATACACAAAAATTAAAAAGAATCCAGGCCAAAGGTCATTTGAAGGCAAGAGGAAAAGATGCCAGAATCAGAGATGGGGAGAAGATGGGCTTCTTCCACCTGGTGAGGTTGAGAAATGAGACAGATAGGCAGGGTGTGGGGGTGGAGAGAGGATGGACAGAGAGACTGAGGCTGGTCTGAATGGAAATGGAATGTAGCGCTCTCAGGGTTATCAGGGGATGATTGGAGCTTCTAGAAAACTAGCACTGTGACCACCTGTGTTCATCAGGCCTCTGCACCCCTAACTAATTGTATGAATCTGGGGAGACTTTGAGTCTCAGTGTTCTCTGTGAAGTGGGGTCAGCTGGTTCTAACTTCCTGGGATTGTTGTGTGAATTAAATGGGGTAATATACAGACAGCACCTGATGTACAGCAGATGCTTAGAAATTTCAGTCTGCACCCCTCCAGCAAAGGATATGCACACACCCATTGTGAGTGGCAAATCCAGAATGACCCGAACCCAGAGTGATAACGTGGGTCCTCGCATGCTGGTCATGCTGTCGGGAGACACTTATGGATCCGATTAGTAAAACAGGGGAAATAAATCATTTAATGCAGTTTGCTAAGAGAGAATACTTCAGAACTTCTTTTGTGGGGCAGGGGCATAATGAAGGGGTCCTTCTGCTGAAAACGTTTACGCTCAGGTTTGTGGCACCACTCAGCCGAGCTCGACGGTCACACAGTGAGCCAGAGGCAATGCCAGGACTTAAACTAGACCTGCGGCCCCCACAGTGAGGCCATTTCTCTTTCCCCTGAACAGCCTGGGGAAGGGGGTGGGTGGGCAGAACTTGGCAGTGGCCAGTCCCTCACTTCTGACACCTGATTTTCTCCTGCCCCTATCTCCCGGCTTGCATTGAATGATGGATTGGTTGAGACAGGGTCTTGCTCTGTTGTCCAGGCTGGAGTGCAGTGGCACGATCATGGCTCACTGCAGCCTCAAATCCCTAGGTTCAAATGGTCCTCCCGCCTCCTGTCTCCCAGGTAACTATATCCGCAGGCTTTTAAAACGGCTTCCAGGTATCTGGCTGTCATCTCAGACATCCACCTGGGCTTCTGGGTAGGGACTGTCCTGGAAACCTCATCTATGTGAGGCAGGTGTGGGTGTAGGAAGGCCCCTTGTAAATGAATCAGCACTGCCTCCTCCTGTGTGAGTCAGCAGCGACGTTCGGCAGGGCCTGGCGGTCAAGAGGCAGGGAGGACGACAGCAGGCTGGCGCTGCAGTGGCACGCCTCAATCACCAGAGGGCACGAGGCAGCCGGGCAAAACCCACGGGGCTGCTGGTGGAAAATTTCTGACACCTGGAGCCCGGAGAGGGAGTGGATGGAATGTGAGGACCCAGCTTCCTTAGGCTGGGCCTGGGCGGAGTCACTGCCTTGGATGTCCCCAGGGTCTGCCTGTGTCCTAACTTTTCTGCCTCTGTAGGCAGCTGGAGAATGTCAGAGTGGGATTGGGATCGGACTGTAGGGGCCATTCCATACAACTCTCCTGTCCTGCTGTGGAATTGCCCAAGGGTACAGAGTATGTTAGTGGCAAATAAATATGATGATCACCAATCTTGGGAATAAGGCCATTTGATGGATGCATTGGCGGCCTCAGTTCCTGAGACAGAGACATCTGATTAGGACGGGCCAACAGGAGCTGACCCTGGTGACCCTCGGCTCTGCTGCTGTCTCTCTTTTCCTCCCTGGCTTTTCCATCTGACTGCCTGTTTGTCTGCTCCTGTCTCTGTCTCTGCCCGCTGGGGGGTTTGCCTGGCTCCCTCACTGGGTCCTGGGAGCCTCATTTCCTGCTGTCACCCCGCAGGGATTTGTAGCTCTCTGATGCTGTTTTCTGACCAGGTGTCTCCGTTCCACTCTTGGGATCCAGAGGAGAGGTGCTTATTTTGTAGCATAGTTAGTGGTGTGATTTCAGGGGGTGAGAGGGACTCCCTGGCTCCTAAGCGCTCCTCCAGTGCCCCTGTTGCCATGCGGTTGCTGTAAACACTGGTTGGCACCTGGTGTGGGCAAGACCCTTACCTCATGCAGAAATGAGTAAGACTGATGAGCTCACCATGTGGGGGTGAGGCTGAGAGAATGCAAGTACACAAGCAATTCAGTCAAAATCGGAATGCTCTAAGTACACACGAGAAGGGCAACAGGGCAGAGCAGGTGGAGGCTGAATCCGATTGGGCCCTGGGAAGGCTCTCTGCCGTGGGTGGCATTTTGCTGGCCTTCGAAGGGTGGGGTGGGATTTCAGCAGGAGAGAGGGCGTGGGCCTGTGTGGGCACGTTCTGCGCAGAGGGGTCAGCGCAGGCTGAGGGGCTTGGCCACACTAGCTGCATGTGCCTCTGTGTTCAAGGGACACCCAGCAGAGGGCCGAGTCTGGAGCATCTCACCGCCAGGCTTTAAAAAATTTTTTAATTTAAATTTTATTTTCATTTTAAGTTTGGGATACATGTGCAGAACGTGCAGGTTTGTCACATAGGTGTACATGCGCCGTGGTGGTTTGCTGCACCCATCAACCTGTCATCTAGGTTTTAAGCCCTGCATGCATTAGGTATTTGTCCTAATGCTCTCTCTCCCCTTGCCCCCCGCCCCCAACCCCAATCCCGCCGACAGGCCCTGCGTCCATGTGTTCTCATTGTTCAACTCCCACTTATGAGTGAGAACATACCTCCAGGTTTAAGGGATAGCCGTGGGGACGCATTGCAGTTTCCGAGCAGGGAGGGTCCTGCGGAGGCCCTTAGTTCAAAGGAACGAATGGCTGTGAAAAGCGATGCATGGCACTCCTTGTCCCTCACCCTCAGTGTGAAGGGTGTTTATTCCGAGTTCTACCTGAAGTAGGCTTCCCGGGAAGACAAGTAGCATGAGGGTTCAAGTGCCGAGGGGAGCAGGGGACACTGGGCGGCTGTGCCAAGGTGTAGAAGAGGACACTGCGGCCCCCAAGACCTGGCTTCATGTACACTGCTCAGGCTGGTCCCCAGGTGACACAGTGACTGCCAGGAAGGGACCAGCCTCTTATAGGTCTGATCCTCCTCTGGTTCCCCCTGGCAGGCTCGTGCGGGGTCTCCATGCCAGTGCTCTCCCTGCCGGGCTGGGCTGGGGCTTCCGCCTGCTGCTCTGGGACTGCTGCTGGCCTGGCCCTGGGGGAGGAGGGTGGTGCCGCTGAGTCACTGCCTGGGCATCTGGGCCTGGAACCTCTGGGTGAGTCACCTAGGGCTGGGGTAGAGGGGCTGGGGGAGGGGAAGAAGCTGGGCCACAGAAAGGGCGGTGCCCGGGTGCCCAGACTGGGGTTGGGATAGACAAAGGGTCAAGGAGGAAGAGGCCCTGGGAGGGGGCAGCCCTCCCTCGGGCTGAGCTCTGAATGGCCGCCGGTCTGGGGAGCACAAGTGTGTGGGGGTGGTGAGAAGGGCTGTGGCTGGAGCCTCTGCTTCAGGCCGGGACTCTGGCTTAGGAAGCTGTCCAGCTGGTGTTTTCTCCCCTGGGTAGAGATCTTCCCCTACCCACCTCCCCAGCCCTCAGGCTGGAGAAGGGAAGGCCAAAGTTTTCTTGTTCACCATTTAACAACTCGAGACTTCCTTGCACTCCCCACAGACTGTGGCCCAGCTGCGGCTGTGTGCAGAGCAGCCCCATCCTTCCAGACCCCTCCCTACGCAGAGGCAGCCTCTGTATTTCCAAGCACGCGTAGTTTCTTCATGACCTCATTAAGAGGTATTCTGGTGCTGGCCATTACAAGTAACTGCACTTCGTCCGTGCCCTGAAGTCAGTCCTGTCCTTCTCCTGATGTCCCCCAGCGGCCGTCTCTGGCCTCCGGCTTCCCGATCGTGGCCCCAGGTTGCTTCTGTGTCACACACATAGGCACATGTATGCACACGAGCACGGGGCCATGAAGTCCCAGCGTGTGTCTGCAGCGTCTCGCTCAGGAGCCGGCTGTGACTCACAGGCATGTCACAAGAACGAGGCCTGGCACCAGTCTCCAGGCCCCAGGGAAGGGCTGCCTCCCCTCACCCCTGGCCCAGGCTTCCCACTCCCCATGACACCTCCCACTCCCCACTGTGGCCGGGGTGGGCTCAGGGGCTGCCCTTGGCCTGGCCTAAAGCCCTCTGCCAGCTGGTGGTGGAGCTGGCACCCTCTGGGAGGGAGGGCGCTGGCAGGAAGTGAGTGGGAATGGCGGGAGGCCAGGCTTTGGTGGGAGCAGGTCGAGGCAGGTTTGGTTTCCTAAAAATGCCAAGTCGGGGGCCAGCGGGGCAAACATATAAATCCTCACCCTGGGAGCCTGGGTGCCTTGCTCTCCTTCCTGGGTTTCTCTCCGCCACCTGATCTGGTGAGTACCTCTGTCCTGCTGAGGACAGGGTCCGGAGGACCGCCCTGGGTCTCTGCCTTTGTCTCCATGGTTCTCTCAATCCGGCTTCCCTGGTGGATCAACCCGGCGTCTCTGGGCCTTCCACCTCGGAAGAAGCCTCTGTGAAGTGTTGACTGGAGGGTCTTTCTCCAGGTTCCTCTGTGAGGTCACGGTGCAGGGGTTGCTCTGAGGCCCTCCCTGGATAGCTCAGTCTAGGACCCTTCTTTGGGCATACATGTGGGTGATGTTACAGTAAGAATCCTGCGATGGTTTTGCTTGGCTTTTTGTCATTGCAAAGTCCTGGATTCTAACAGGACTAAGGAGCAAGAGGCAGGGGTCTCAAGTGCGAGACTCTGCCTGGGCATGGCCCTGAGCAGCACAGCTCTGCGCCCTGCCTCGGTGAAGGGAGGGCTGGCAGGACGGGCCCAGGGCATGCCTTGCCTCTGGCATAGCTCCTCTGGCTTCACCCCGGAACCTGCCAAAGCCTTCCCGGCTGGTCTGAGCATTCTCACAGGCCTTGCCGCTGAGGTCTGTCCCATCCTGGTCCCAAGGCACTGAACATTTCACTTCTTTAATCCTAATTCCAACAGGTCCCTCCTGGTAGAGAGGATGTTCAGTTGCCCCTATGATACCCAGGCCCCTGTCTGTACACAGGCAGCGCCCCATGGCTCAGGGGCCTTCAGGGTGAGGGGAGACACATTCCCAGCCCTCTGAGAGCCCCTAGTCTGAGAGAGGAGACACCCCTAGGGGAGCTTCCAGTTAGATGGCAGAGAGAGGCGCCTCTGGCTTCAGGAGCCCCGAGTCTGAGGAGGGAAATGACTCCTTCCGGGGTCTTCCTGCTCACAGCTGTAGCTATGGCGCCCCCCGGCCCACACATGTGGTCTGCTCCCCAGTACCTGGGCAGACGCGGTCAAAATGGGACTCTGGTCACCCTGTCATTTTCCTTCTGGCAGACACTCAAGCAGGGAGCCCTGCCCTCAGGGGGGTGTCCCAAGTGCCATCAGAGGAGGCTTGGGGCCCTGCCATTGGTGACTCCCAGACACAAGGGAAGTGTTAGTATCTGCCCTCAGTGTGAGGTGGAGGTATGCCCCCGCCCTCAGGGAAGAACAGTCTGAGGGGGAGATGCAACCCCTGCCTTCCCCTTCAGAGAGGGGCTTTGCCAGGTGGTTTGTGGGCGTAGGGCAGAAGCGGATCCTGCAGGCTGAGCCAAGGCCCCAAGAGCCTCAGCAGGGTCCCCATCACCTGGCACCTCTGCAGCTGCAGGTCCACGATGTGCAGTCCCCTGGAGCAGGCACTGGCTGTGCTGGTCACCACCTTCCACAAGTACTCCTGCCAGGAGGGCGACAAGTTCAAGCTGAGTAAGGGGGAGATGAAGGAACTGCTGCAGAAGGAGCTGCCCAGCTTTGTGGGGGTGAGTGGTGCAGGCCCGTGGGGGAGCGCCTGGTGTGAGTGTGGGCGTGCAGGTTAAACCTCTCCTCCAGTTCTGGGTGCCTACTGATGAAAGTGCCGGGCTGGGGCCCAGCCCTCTCCCCACTTTTGCTTCATGGCCCCACTGGAGTGGGAGTGAGGCCTGAGTGGGGGTGCTTTAATTTTTTATGTATTTTTATTTATTTATTTTTGAGATGGAATTTCACTCTGTTGCCCAGGCAGGAAGTGCAATGGCGCGATCTCGGCTCACCACAACTGATTCTCCTGCCTCAGCCTCCAGAGTAGCTAGGATCACAGGCATGTGCCACCACGCCTGGCTAATTTTGTATTTTTAGTAGAGACGGGGTTTTTCCATGTTGGTTAGGCTGGTCTCCAGCTCCTGACCCCAGATGATCCGCCCGCCTTGGCCTCCCAAAGTGCTGAGATTACAGGTGTGAGCCACCATGCCTGGCTGGGAGTGTTTTATTAATGGCTGTTTCCTCCATCATTCCAGAGAACTGTGTGCTGTTAGGAGCTTCAGGGCCCATCTGTCTAATCCTGTCATTGGAGAGTAGAGAAACCAGAGCCCAGAAAGGAAAAGTGATTGTCCCAACATCACACAGCACTGGCACGTTCTCTCTCTCTCTCTCTTTCCTTTTTTTTTGTGGGAGAGGGGACAAGATCTCACTCTGTCATCCAGGCTGGATCGTAGCTCATTGTAACCTCAAACTCCTGGGCTCAAGCAATCCTCCTAAGTAGTTGGGACTACGGGCGTATGCCACCATGCCTGACCAATTTTTTAAAAAAATGTTTGTAGAGTTGGAGTCTTGCTATGTTGCTTGAACTCCTGGCCTCAAGCAGTCCTCCCATCTCGGCCTCCCAAAGTATTGGAATTACAGATGTGAGCCACCGTGCTTGGCCTTTTCCCATTTTTATATGCCACACTAAGAAAGTGTGTACGGAGAGAAAAGCCCAGCTGAAATATATGGTCAAAATATATATATATATATTTTTTTTGAGATGGAGTTTCGCTCTTGTTACCCAGGCTGGAGTGCAATGGCGCGATCTTGGCTCACCGCAACCTCCGCCTCCTGGGTTCAGGCAATTCTCCTGCCTCAGCCTCCCGAGTAGCCAGGACTACAGGCACGTGCCACCATGCCCAGCTAATTTTTTTTTGTATTTTTAGTAGAGACGGGGTTTCACCATGTTGACCAGGATGGTCTCGATCTCTTGACCTCGTGATCCACCCGCCTCGGCCTCCCAAAGTGCTGGGATTACAGGCGTGAGCCACCGCGCCCGGCCTGGTCAAAATACATTTCGTGGAGAAATGCAGTCAACCCTTAGTTTGTCCCCCAGCCTCCCGAGCCTGACTCTTTGGTGATCCCAAGGTTAGGTGTTGGGCTTTGAACACACGAGGCAGGTCCTTCTTTCCTTTTTTTGTTTTGTTTTTGTGGTTGGTTAAACTTTTCCTTCTTTCTTTCTTTCTTTTTTTTTGAGACAGCCTTGTTCTGTTGCCAGGCGCCAGGCTGGAGTGCAGCGGCATCATCTCAGCTCACTGCAATCTCTGCCTCCTGGGTTCAAGCAATTCTTCTGCCTCAGCCTCCCGAGTAGCTGGGACTACAGGCACACGCCACCACGCCCAGCTAATTTTTGTTGGTATTTTTTGGTAGAGATTGGGTTTCACCATGTTGGCCAGTATTGACCTTGTGATCCGACCGCCTCGGCCTCCCAAAGTGCTGGGATTACAGGCGTGAGCCACCGCGCCTGGAGGTTAAACTTTTCTAATTATTTTGGCTAGTATTAAAAAAGTGTTTTTCAGCTGGGCACGGTGGCCCATGCCTGTAATCCCCACACTCTGGGAAGTTAAGGCAGGACGACCTCTTAAGCCCAGGAGTTCGACTAACCTGTGCAACATAGCAAGACTTCATCTCTACAAAAATAAAAATAAAAATTGGCCAGGCATGGTGGCATACTCCTGTAGTCCCCGCTACTTGGGAGGATTGATTGAGCCCAGGAATTTGAGGTTACAGTGAGCTGTGATCCAGCCTGGGTGACAGGGGGAGATCACTCTGGTTGCCAAGACCGGCTTAGGCAACATAATGAGACTTTGTCTCTACTAAAAATAAACAATTAGCTGGGCGTGGTGGCATAAGCCTGTGGTCCCAGCTACTTGGGAGGCTGAGGTGGGAGGATTGCTTGAGCCCAGGAGGCTGAGGCTGCAGTGAGTTGTGATGGTGCCACTGCACTCCAGCCTGGGCAACAGAGCAAGACCTTGTCTTAAAAAATAAAGTGTTCTTCTCTTCTGAATCCACCTGGCTGGTGTTGGGAAGCAGCAGTCTTCAGTTTCCTCATCGACAGAATGGGGTGATGATACCTTATCTCGCTGGGATCCTGTGGGATTTGAGCTGATGTGTTCTCAGAGGAGCCCTGAGTGTCTTCCTTGTGTCCAGGAGGGGGGCACACTGGAGGTGTTCGCCAATGAGCATCCGTTTCTCCTTACTCACTGGGCCCTCTTAGCAGCTCCCAGGGCCTCCTGCTCGCCAGGTACCCAGCTGCCCAGTGGGGAGGAAGAGCTGGGAACCAACTAGAGTGTGTGTGGGGTCTGGGTGTTTGGTGGAGCTGGGGTTGGGGGCTGGCTTGGTGATGAGCGTATTTCCTCTCACTTTCAGGAGAAGGTGGATGAGGAGGGGCTGAAGAAGCTGATGGGCAACCTGGATGAGAACAGTGACCAGCAGGTGGACTTCCAGGAGTATGCTGTTTTTCTGGCCCTCATCACTGTCATGTGCAATGAATTCTTCCAGGGCTGCCCAGACCGACCCTGAAGCAGAACTCTTGACTCCCTGCTGTGGATCTCTTGAGCCCAGGACGCTCGATGCCTTTGAGTTTTGTATTCAATAAACTTATTTTTTATCTGTTGTTAATATTTTAATCACTCAGTGATGTTCCATAACCTGGCTGGCTCAGCTGGAGTGCTGAAAAATGAGGACCTCCAGGACCCCGCTCCCTTCTGGGCTCTGACTCTCCTGGAAATCTCTCCAAGGCCAGAGCTGTGCTTTAGGTCTCAATTTTGGGATTTCAAATACTAGCAAAAATTTGAAAATCAAGATAGGTTACTGACTTTTATTTTGTCAAATAAAGATATGAAAAAAGGCAAATACCTTCTACCATCACTATCATTTCATAAAAAAAGAAAATTTCAGTTCCAATAAAGGAGGAAAGGTATAATCTCAGAATAAAGGACAGATCTTAACATTCAATACTGTAAGGAATGAGTTGTACCAGGATCTGTTCCGGAGATATGAATTAGTCTAATCAACCCTGCAAAGCTTTATTTAAAGGATTCCTTGTCAGACCAAGTGTGGTGGCTCACCCTGTAATCCCAGCACTTTGGGAGGCTGAGGCAGGCAGATCCCTTGAGGCTGGGAGTTCGAGACCCGCCTGGCCAACATGGTGAAACCCCATCTCTACCAAAAAATACCAAACAATTAGCTGGGTGTGGTGGCGCATGGCTGTAGTCCTAGCTACTCAGGAGGTTGAGGCGGGAGAATCACTTGAACCTGGGAGACGGAGGTTGCAAGATCAGGCCACTGCAATCCAGCTTGGGCAACAGAGCAAGACCTTTTCTCAAAATAAAAAGAAGGATTCATTGTCAGAATACAGGCCATAGGCAGTGCTGTGGTTTGAATGTGTTCCCCAGAGTTATGTGATAGAAACTTTATCTCCAAAGAAACACTATTTAACAGGTGATTAGGCCATGAAGGCTCTGCTGTAATGAAGGGGTTAATGCTATTGTCACAGGAGTGGGTTACTTGCAGAAGGGTGAGGTTGTCCCCCACCTTTTCTCTCTCTCCCTCTCTTTGCCCTTCCACCATGAGATGATGGAGCAAGACGGCCTTCTCCAGGTGCTACTTCCTCCAGCTTAGATTTCCTGGCCTCCAGAATTGTGAGCCAATAAATATCTATTTTTCTTTTGACTACCAGTCTGTGGTATTCTGTTGTAGAAATACAAAATGGGCCAAGACAGGCAGTACATCTGTTTTCAGAAAACAAGTGTATTGTCTACA